AGAGGTGGCCCCGGTGAGGCTGGGATGGCCCCCGCGGGGCTGGAATGGCCCCTGAGAGGCTGGGATGGCCCCGGTGAGGCAGAGACGGCCCCGGTGAGGTTGAATCGGCCCCGGTGAGGTTGAGACAGCCCCAGTGAGGTTGAGACGGCCACAGTGAGGTTGAATCGGACCTGGTGAGGTTGAGATGGCCCTGGTTAGCTTGCAGCGGCCCTGGTGAGCTTGCAACGGCCTTGGTGAGGTTGAAACGGCCCCTGTGAGGCTGAGGTGGCCCCTGTGAGACTGAGACGGCCCCTGGGAAGCCGAGAAAAATACCACATGAACTCACTCATTTATGGATAATAAGGACCATTATAGACTGATGAACAGAAATGGATACAGAGGCAGAGCAGCCTTGAGCAGACTGTCAAACTACAGTGGGAACCCTGGGGAGGGTTGGAGGCAGGGTAGAAGACAACCAAAGGACTTGTATGTATATGAGAATAACTAATGGACACAAGACACCGGGGCATGGGGGAAGCTGGGCGAATGTCAAGGGGCGGGGGGGAGACATGTGTAATACTCTTTGTAATACTTTAAGAAATAAAAAAAAAAGAACAAAACCTTCCTGGCCAATGTTGGGCACCCACCCGCAGGCTGGGTCCTTCCCCACCCTCTCCTTTAGGCACCGGCCTCTCAGCTCCCCTGGGCCTCGTGCCCTCCTGCCTCGTGGTCTTTGTCGCACGCTGTCCCCCACCTGGAACACAGCTCCCCGCTGTCTGCCTGGGGGCGTCTGCTTGTCCCTCAGCAGGCGCCCTGACCTGCCGAGGTCACGCTCCCTCTTGATGCGCAGAGCACCACCGCTCTCTGCTCTGTAGCACTGACTAGAGGTGTGATTTTAAATGTGTGGATTTTAAAAAGAATATATTCATCTACTATGTGCCATGTGCCATACTTCTTACATATTACATCCTATTTAATACTCCCAACATATGAACTAGCCAAAAATACTGCCACTTCACAGGGAAGAAAACGCTGCCAGGGGAAGCCACCTGCCCAAGGCGGCACAACTGCAGAGGGTGGTGCAGCTGCAGAGGGAGACACAGCAGCAGGGGGGTGAACAGCTGCAGAGGGGGACATGGCTGTAGAGGGCACAGCTGCAGAGGGGGACAAGGCTGCAGAGGGGGACACAGCTGCAGAGGGGACAGCGGGAGGGGGACACAGCTGCAGAGGACACAGCTGCAGAGGGACACAGCTGCAGAGGGGGATACAACTGCAGAGGGCACAGCTGCAGAGGGGGACACAGCTGCAAAGGACACAGCTGCAGAGGGGGACATGGCAGCAGAGGACACAGCTGCAGAGGGCGGCACAGCTGCAGAGGACACAGCTGCAGAGGGGACATGGCTGCAGAGGACACAGCTGCAGAGGACATAGCTGCAGAGGGACACAGCTGCAGAGGGGGACATGGCAGCAGAGGACACAGCTGCAGAGGGCGGCACAGCTGCAGAGGACACAGCTGCAGAGGGGACATGGCTGCAGAGGACACAGCTGCAGAGGACATAGCTGCAGAGGGACACAGCTGCAGAGGGGGACATGGCAGCAGAGGACACAGCTGCAGAGGGCGGCACAGCTGCAGAGGACACAGCTGCAGAGGGGACATGGCTGCAGAGGACACAGCTGCAGAGGACATAGCTGCAGAGGGACACAGCTGCAGAGGGGGACATGGCAGCAGAGGACACAGCTGCAGAGGGCGGCACAGCTGCAGAGGACACAGCTGCAGAGGGGACATGGCTGCAGAGGACACAGCTGCAGAGGACATAGCTGCAGAGGGACACAGCTGCAGAGGGGGACATGGCAGCAGAGGACACAGCTGCAGAGGGCGGCACAGCTGCAGAGGACACAGCTGCAGAGGGGACATGGCTGCAGAGGACACAGCTGCAGAGGACATAGCTGCAGAGGGACACAGCTGCAGAGGGGGACATGGCAGCAGAGGACACAGCTGCAGAGGGCGGCACAGCTGCAGAGGACACAGCTGCAGAGGGGACATGGCTGCAGAGGACACAGCTGCAGAGGACATAGCTGCAGAGGGACACAGCTGCAGAGGGGGACATGGCAGCAGAGGACACAGCTGCAGAGGGCGGCACAGCTGCAGAGGACACAGCTGCAGAGGGGACATGGCTGCAGAGGACACAGCTGCAGAGGACATAGCTGCAGAGGGACACAGCTGCAGAGGGGGACATGGCAGCAGAGGACACAGCTGCAGAGGGCGGCACAGCTGCAGAGGACACAGCTGCAGAGGGGACATGGCTGCAGAGGACACAGCTGCAGAGGACATAGCTGCAGAGGGACACAGCTGCAGAGGGGGACATGGCAGCAGAGGACACAGCTGCAGAGGGCGGCACAGCTGCAGAGGACACAGCTGCAGAGGGGACATGGCTGCAGAGGACACAGCTGCAGAGGACATAGCTGCAGAGGGACACAGCTGCAGAGGGGGACATGGCAGCAGAGGACACAGCTGCAGAGGGCGGCACAGCTGCAGAGGACACAGCTGCAGAGGGGACATGGCTGCAGAGGACACAGCTGCAGAGGACATAGCTGCAGAGGGACACAGCTGCAGAGGGGGACATGGCAGCAGAGGACACAGCTGCAGAGGGCGGCACAGCTGCAGAGGACACAGCTGCAGAGGGGACATGGCTGCAGAGGACACAGCTGCAGAGGACATAGCTGCAGAGGGACACAGCTGCAGAGGGGGACATGGCAGCAGAGGACACAGCTGCAGAGGGCGGCACAGCTGCAGAGGACACAGCTGCAGAGGGGACATGGCTGCAGAGGACACAGCTGCAGAGGACATAGCTGCAGAGGGACACAGCTGCAGAGGGGGACATGGCAGCAGAGGACACAGCTGCAGAGGGCGGCACAGCTGCAGAGGACACAGCTGCAGAGGGGACATGGCTGCAGAGGACACAGCTGCAGAGGACATAGCTGCAGAGGGACACAGCTGCAGAGGGGGACATGGCAGCAGAGGACACAGCTGCAGAGGGCGGCACAGCTGCAGAGGACACAGCTGCAGAGGGGACATGGCTGCAGAGGACACAGCTGCAGAGGACATAGCTGCAGAGGGACACAGCTGCAGAGGGGGACATGGCAGCAGAGGACACAGCTGCAGAGGGCGGCACAGCTGCAGAGGACACAGCTGCAGAGGGGACATGGCTGCAGAGGACACAGCTGCAGAGGACATAGCTGCAGAGGGACACAGCTGCAGAGGGGGACATGGCAGCAGAGGACACAGCTGCAGAGGGCGGCACAGCTGCAGAGGACACAGCTGCAGAGGGGACATGGCTGCAGAGGACACAGCTGCAGAGGACATAGCTGCAGAGGGACACAGCTGCAGAGGACACAGCTGCAGAGGGCGGCACAGCTGCAGAGGGGGTCACAGCTGCAGAAGGGGGCACAGCTTCAGAGGGCAGTGCTGCTGAGAAGCAGCCTGTGGGCTCCTGGATATCTGCGCATTCTCCAGAATGCTGCCTGAGGGGACGCCTCTCACTCTACATCACAGTGATAGGGGATTTTTGGACTGGAGCACACGGTATTCCCCTAGCAGGATGGCTTCCCCAGATTCTTTGTCCGTAGGAGTCGAAGAATGAATCCACAGACAGAAGGAGGTGTAGCAAAGGTGGAAATTTATTGAAGAACAAGTACAGACTCTCACATGGGAAGGAGAAAGAATCTCACAGCACAGACTCCCACGTGGGGAGGAGAAAAGAGTCCCACAGAGTCTCC